GTGCCTTGCAAATAAAACACAGTATATATTTCTGACTAAATGGATGAATGTTTTATTCTGACGGGAAAACAAAGAGAAGAGGAGAAACAGCAGACACATTCTAGTTGAGAAGAAATGTTAGTAAGCCTAAATGTATTCATTTGTCTTTTTACCTAACAGTGGATGAAAGATTGCCCAGTTAGAAGAGAAGCTCACGTCTGGAGGAGATGCCAGAGGAGCTTTGTACAAGGTTTGCAGATAGCCTTCAGCTTGTGATAGTCCCCCCACCCCCGGAGCATCTTTCTCGGAGTTCAAAGACCTCAGTTACAGATGCAGGGGAAAGCACAAAAAGAGAAACAATAACATAGCAAATAGTTTTTACCCAAATTCTGAAGGCTAAGGGGAAACATTCACGTGAGGTGCAAATGCCTGCTCAATTTGCAGCCGTTTCCAGATACCTTACCTGTTCCCAGAGCTCACACCTGAAGGATGAATGAGGCAACTTGGGCTTTTTCATGACAGTTTTACTGACTTTTGGACATTAATCAGATGATTATATTTCTAAATTTATAGCATACACTACACACACACACACTCACACTTACCTATATAAATAATTACAACAAATGTATTGTTTCTCAAAGTAACCAAATTTTAACTAAAATATCTAACAAATATAATTAAATTGGGATTGATTACTCACATCACAAAATTCTTTTTTTCCCACTTCACAGAAGAACCAAATCAAAGATCTTTTTCAAACTTCTACCATGTATTAGAAGTAAGTCACGTATAATACATTGCTCTAATATTAACTAGCAATGGAGCTTATATAAGAACAGGAAAAAAGTTAGAATTGAAGCGATTTCATGTGAATGTGAGGGGGTTGGAAATATTTTTAAACGAATGTTTCTCATTGTTGCATGGATAGTGAGAGCAACTGCCAAAATGTGGGCAAAACTAGAGAATTATGCAATGAGAAGAAAGAAATCAAAACATGTAACATAATTTAGACTCTATTGTTATCAGGGTTTTTTTTTTTTTTTTGAATTAATAATAAAATCGAGCAGGTGGAATGAGTCAGTTGATGACTCAGGAAGGCCCATAGGAAACTTGAAACTGTTAAGCAAAACACTTCTTCCTCACCATGAATTTCAGTTTTCTAAAATGGTCTTTCAACAAAAAACTTAATCTGTGAGAGGATCTCCGTGCATTGGGGTTAGCGGGGAGTCCGTGCCCCCCGCAACCCGCGTGTGACTTCAGCCCTGTATGAAAATGACTGATTGTCAGAGCAGGTGGCTCACATAACTTTTCTTCCTAATTTAGGAAAACAAACAAATCAAATGTCGCAAGGCTGTGCAGTCCACACGTGCCCAGTAGAAGGTCTGGGGGTGGGGGCTGGCGATATAATCCAGGGAATAGTCTCTATTTTCTGTTTCAAAATAAAAAGGAGAGTGCTCTTCGGGCAGGCCTTGCCCCTCAGCCGTGCCCCTGAGGTGGTTTCTAACTGTCTCCCTGCTGTGCTGTCCCCAGCGTTTCCATGACGCTCCCTGTGACAGGAGCTGTCTTTCCTGATGAGACCCATGCAGTGGCTGTGCCCATGTCCTGCCACCGTGAGCTGCTTTCAGCTGTTTCAGGCTCCGTCAAGCCTCCGTGCCCTGGTCCATGTGTCCCTCTGTCACAGACGTCTCCCTTTTTTTTTTCACTTACCTGTACTTTCAAATGTTGCCTCCCCGGGAAACCTTCCCCAGTCTCACACCTTCTTTGTGGTCCCCTGCACCCTCCTCTGCTCTCAGATATTTCCTACCTGCCCCACTTAGCACTCCACGTTGTCCTGTCCTGGTTCTCACGTCTGCTCCACCTCTAGACTGTGAGTTCCCGCAGCTACAAGCGGGACCCTTCACACTCGGAGACCCTCATGCTCCCTCCCAGGTAACAGTCCTCACTAGCCTGCAGAGGACAGGCCAGCAGCGCGAATGTCTGTTTTGCTGTGAGATGAGATGAAATTCCTTAGCATTCCTGACTGAGTCTCTCTTTGCCATTTCTCGGACCTCTGGCAGTGTCTCCTATGGGAGGAGGTCACCCCATTGCCAGTCCTCCTGTCCATACTCTCGTGGAGACAGTGCCTTTATGTAGGGTGCTCGGTCCCAGGGCTCCAAACCTTCAAGGCCCTCAAATGTCTGCATTGTCTTCCATTGCAGGTGCCAGAAGGTCCCTGTGTTCTGTGTAGCAATGGGGGCAATGTTTTTTACTTCTCAGCATTCACCTTGGGTCCACAGGGCCAGGCTGAGAAGCAGACACCTGGTTATTTTTGTTTTGTCTGCAAATCAACTCCCACGCGGAGACTTGAGAGGGACCACCAACTGGTTTATCCAATTCAACCAAGGCGTGAGGCCAGTCTTCATCTCAGCTGAGACCCTCTAGTATTAATACCTTTCTTTTCCCTCGCTTCACCTATCACTGACATTTTGTAGGTGCTTTCCTAAGTGTTTCTGGAACTCTCTGAAGAAGGCCTTTGTATTTCCTTTTGTCACTGACCAGTTTGGTCAGTGTCACTGGGCACCTAATATGCACTGTTTTTCTTCATGCTGGTCACGCTCTGCCGCCTCGTATCTGAATTCCCAGGCTGAGTTATATTTCTGGTGCACTGCGCTGAAAGTGTGGAGAGGGCCCACGGAGTATATTGCAAAGCAGGAAACAAAAATCCAAAAACTTGACACTGGAAATGGCTGCCTTATAAGGACCTCTCAGACCTTTAATGAACCCTCCCGGGCTCCCCATAGAATAAAATGTTTTATTCTAAATGAAACCATGTGCATCGTGGTGCCTTTTTTTACATTATTAAAATTTAGCTCTTTGCCGGCTGACATCTCAGCTTGCTATTCAGGGAAGGATGTTTATTTTGGTATAACTGAAGGGAATCCCTAAAATATTCCCACCAGGAACACTGGGATATTATTTCCAAATTCCAATCTCCTTTGCAGGAGATATACTCAGTCATCAAATTTTTCATATCTACCGGGAGACTCATACTCAAATGACTGGTGGCACACCCCATACCGGATGGGAAGGCTTCTAAGTGCGGGATGGATGCCGTATTTGAGAAAAGCTGATAAGAAAAGAAGTTAGAGACTATGTATATATGTATTACCACCACACAGACTTTGAAGGCAGGGTGGAAAGATTTAGAACAACATAACAGTGGATAATATTAGTAATGACCTTCTCTTTATTCACCACTGAACTTTTAAATGCAGATTTGTCAATACCATTCCACTCTCTCTTTTCTGAAAAACTTAGTGCCAATTGTGTTTCAGAGTACAGCATTTCTCTGATTTTATAACTTATGTAACATTTCCAGGAGAATGAGGCAGCATTACATAATAAACCACTAATTGTGATATTTTGCAATTGCCAATCAGGAATGGTGGCCAATGGCATGAAAGCAGATGTATCCATGGCATATTTTGGAAACCTTTCTTAAGAGACAGCTGGCAGGCACCTCTGCCTTCTTCCTCTCCATCGCTATTGGTTCTACTGCCCGGAAGATGGGTGCAGCCACCTGGATTGTGAGGAGGAGGCGTGAGGCTCGTGAACTGACAGGACGGAGGGGGCCTGCATAGCTTACCTCTGGGCTTCATTGACAGGAAAGAGAGAACAACTTACTCTCTTGTTTAAGCCACTTTCATTTATCTATTTTTTTCCCTGACATATACAGCCAAACCAAACCCTAAATTATTCAGTTATAATGGAGAATTAAAGTCCTAGATTTGGTAGGATTTTTAATTACTGTGCTGACATAGTCAATCTATATCTCAATTTGTGTATGGAGAAAGCCACATATAAATGCATTGTGTTTTAGTATGTACAGTGCAGCTAATTAGATTTTATGCATGAATATACAAAAGTACCACAACAGAAGGCAGAATAAAGTAGGGTGTTTATGGACTGGGGTGGGTCCTCCTTACTTTCCTTGTCTATCTTTGGAATCAAAGTTGTTTTTGTGTGTGTGTGTGTGTTTACACAAAATTAACTCATCATAGGGAAGAAAACCTCTCCATCCTAGTGGTAAGTTTAACAAGTACTGTAGTCTGTTTTGCCTCAACATTTCTAATTCACACAGCATTAATGATTTATTTAGTAGTGACCAAAATGTGCCTTTAGCTTAGAGAAGACAGAGAGAAGTGGTCGTCTGATGCTATGGTCTGAATGTTCATGTCCCCTCAAAGTTTAGTTGTTGAACCATAATCTTCAATGTGATGGTATTAGAAAGTGGGGCCTTTGGGAGGTCATTAGATCATGAGGGCTGGATTAGTATCCTTACACAAGAGGCTACAGAAAAGTTCTTTTCCCTTCTACCATGTGAGGATATGGCGAGAAGGCGCCATCCGTGGACCAGAAAGTGGGCGGCCACCACACACTGAATCTGTCAGCACCATGGTCTTGGACTTCTCGACCTCCAAACTGTTAAGAAATGAATTTCCATTGTTTATAAGCTACTCAGTCTGTTATATTTTGTTATAGCAGCTAGAACAGACTAAGACACCTGACTGTATTTACTAAAAAGAACATAAAAAGGAATCTTCAAAAAATAGAAGCTTCTTCTCATTCATTTAGGGCTCGATTCTTCCTGTACATGGCTATACTCTGATGGCCAATCAGAGCTTTCATGTGTGTCTAAGCTCTGGCTGCCTGTAGAGTGAGGATTGATCCCACTGAACAATTCCTTCCATGCTGACTTGTGGGCATCTCTTTGAAATTTTTTAAAGTTCAAGGGTTAGAACAGCAGGGCTCTGAATAGCTCTGGATCAGGAGATGCCTCTGTTGGTAGTTGGTCATTCATATTGATGGATGTTATGGCTCTTTATATTATTGGCAAAATATTTGTTTTTCCTACACAAGTTTGCTCATCCCTTGTGCATGTATTTTCCCATTTTCACCAAGGCCTGGACAAATGGGTACAAAGGCCTTGGTGCAGAGCTTTTCAAACTGTGCTCTCAAATTCTGTAGGATCTCACAGAGGTGTCTTACGCTTTGCAGGGGAGAGTGAGATGGTTCCTGATCATCTACCTGTTCCCTCGACTCACAGCAGATCACATTTTGTCTTTTTTATATATCAGAGTATTATGTACATTCTGTTCAAGCAAAAGGACTCTGCTGCTGTAAGGTAAAATCAATAAATTGAAAAGTGCTGGTATAGGGTAAACCCATGACTACAATTGGAAAAACGGCCACCAATGTAGGTTGTACTGAGTGTGGATAAACATTATCAGTATTGTAGAGCATTTGCTGTATCACAGATTAATGTCTTTATATGTCATGGGTCAAAGTAAAGAAAATAGGTAATTGCTTCTTTTCTTAGCAGCGAAACCATTTTCCACCACTTTATTTGTGAGTTTGGAGCACTGGGAAGGATGGGGGTGGGGTGGTTTAGGACAAAGAGATTTATGATCTTCTGAATTGCTACAGTGACCTAAAGAAGGCTGACTGCGAATCCCCAAATATTTAACATGCAGATAAAACAGACACTGAGGGTGACTGGGCTCGTTAAACTCTGCCTTAAATTAGCGAAGTATAAATATAAAATTATTCTTCTCTTTCCTAAGGACACCAGATGGTTGAAGGACACCTGTATGGACATTTGAACACATCTGTAGATCTCAGTTTTAGCAAGAACTTTGGAGACGTCCCTCAGCACAGGCCCCTTCCAACATTTTTTCCTTCCTTGTGCAAGTTATTCCTCACCTGGAGGCTCTTCTGTCAGCCTCCATAGTCCATCCCAGCCCTCAGCGGGGCCTTTGCTTGTCTGTCTATGAGATGGGGCCTACTACAGAGACCACCTCTGCGTCTCATGTTATGCTTACGTGCAGCCAAGCACCAGGGGAACCCGACTGTCCTGGTTTCCTGGGACTGAGGTGGTCACTAGAGTGTCATTGGAATGCCAGGCTTTCAGTGCCGAAACCAAGAACACCCCTGGGGTGAGTTGATTATCCTGCCAGCATCCTCACCTCTGTCCTCTCACCTTCTGCCCAGAGTAGTCCCCCGAAGACTCTGTCTTTGGCTCAAAGAAACTCAGCAAAGGCTGGCTTAAGAGGGGCTTCTCATGAACCCCCTGAATTCTTGAACCCACCAGTGAACTCTACAGGTTCTCCAGCTCATACCTGGTTTTACTTTGACAATGTCTCGTTGCTAACCATTCCCAATTCTGGCTCTTGCCTCTGCTGAGACCTGCTAGATCTGAAACCCCAGGTTGTATTTTCTGTCCCTGCTTTCTCATTCTGGTCAGTATTTTTGTGGCCCTTGGCTTGGCAAATTCTGGTTCCTCACTCACAAGGTGCTGCCCCTCAAGGCTCAGGCAAGCTGGGCATCCATTAATGACCAGTTAATGAGTGGATATTAAGAGTAAAACAATTGTGGTAATAACCTTTAAGTTCAAATTCAAACCAATTATCTGCCCATAGGAAGAACTAAAGCCTGGAACACTACCCAGTTCATTAAGGAGGCACAAGATGTCCAGGGAAGTTTAAGCATTCTAATCCTGGCAAGCTGCTGTGGGGAACCTCAGTAACCCGAAGGTTGCCTTTGGGCAGGGCAGGTAAATGGTGGCAGTTTTCCAAAGACAGGTTCTCTGAGCTGTGTGTGATTAGTTAAGCCTCAGTTTTGGTTGAAGAGCTGACTGTGAATAGTAGAACCTTCCAGGTGTTTGATGACAAAGTTCTTACCTAGGAAGAGAGGAGACAAGACACCAATGAGGAATGACACGCCCTCAGGGTCTCTCAGGAGTGATTTCTGCTGCAGGCCATCCACCCACTCATTCCTTATTCACTCATTCATCCATTCAACAAATAGTTTTGAGCCAACGCCAGGCATTGTTCCAGGAACTGGGGTTATAGCAGTTGACAAAATAGACAAATATCCCAGTCACAGAGTTGACATGTGAGTGGCCAGAGAAAGGTGACAAACAAAAAAACACAAAATTTTAAAATATTTATATAAAAACATATAAAAAAGAGAAAAAGGGAATGTCAGGGGAAGGGTTGCAGTTTGAAAAGGGTAGTGAAAGGACATTCTCAATGAGAGGGTGACATTCAAGGGAAGACTTAAAGGAGGTGACGGAAGCAGCCACACAAACACGGCTGCAGGAGGGAGGAGGACCGTGCACGGCTCCCGAGGCCGGGACAGCCTGGAGTGTTGGAGGGGTGGCGAGGAGCCCTCATGGCTGGACAGTGAGGAGGGTGAGGGGAGAGAGAGCAGGAGCCCTGCCTTCATCACTGTCGGACCCCGCAAAGCCCCAGCCCTCCCGGTTTGAGGAGTCGCACTGACACCCTTTGTCCTGGTCACCTCCCTTATCCCACTCCTCTATGGGCCACTGAGCCCTGACCTGGCCCCGGGTGACCTGGGTTAGAGTCCCAGTGTGCCCCCAATTCATGTAGCCACGTGACCTTTTCTGGCCTTGGTTTCCTCACCATAAGATTGGGGCTTGGGCTGGCCAATTTCCAGCTCTTCTCATCACTGAAGTTCAAGGGTTCTTGCAAAAACACACCTTAGTGTGATAGGATTTTACTTCGTATGCTAATATAATTCTTCTTATTATTCTGTAATGCCTGTCTTTATTCCTGGTAAATTTTTTTTTCTATAAGTATTTGATTTTAGGTGTTTTTTTTTTTTAATTTCAGCATATTATGGGTAAATTTTTTTGTTTGAATTCTGCTTAATCTGATACTAATATGTGCACTGTACCTTCAACATACATGTGAAAAACACAAGCAAGAAACTGAACTACAATGAAATATTTTAAATCTCACTATTATTATTATTTTGTTATTGGCGAGTTGACAGGGAAAGACTGTGAGTCACGACGAGGATGCAGAGTTCAGGGACATTCCGGTAGACTGTCATTTGCCTGTACAACCGTTAGGTGCCTTCACATGTGTTGTTAAACAGTTCATGTTTTTAACCTCAAAATACATGAGAAAAGGTAAAGGACATAACATTAGTGACGCTGACAGATGAGGAAACTGAGGGCGAGTGGATTTCAGGACATCACCTAACTGGTTAATGGTGTCTCAGGTCTGAGTATTACGATTTTTCTCCCTGTTGCAGTGAGAAGATGGCCCAGCCATGGCTGTTTTCAGACATGGCTGCTGCAGTGACACGTGGTGACAGAGTCCTCCTCTCTTGGCCCTGCTTGGTTCTCGGGGGCGTTGTCTTTTTCTGCAATGCACGCCGGCCCACCACACATGGAGACCTGGAGATTTCCCTCCATTCATTCCACCTGCGAGCACTGACAGAGCTCCTGAGGTTAGGACAGTCCAGCGGGGAAACAGGCGGACAGTAAGGATGACCTGTCAGAAGTGCCTAGAAAATGGTACTCAGCTGTACTTTTGAAGCTCTGGGTGCAAGGGGGATGTGAGTTGCGCCCAAGGGAGCAGGCAGGGGGAACCCGAGAAGGGTTTGGGAGCCCGAGAAGGCTCCGCGGAGAAGACAGCACCGCAGCTGGCTTGAGGGAATGGGCAGGAGTGTGCCAGGCATAGAAAGAGCAAGTGGCATGCAGCCAGGCTCGCTGCAGACAAAACCGTGTTCATGGGAAAGCACAAGGCACGTTTGGAATCAGCAGTCATCTGTCACGGGTAGAGCCAGAGGGAGTTGAGAGGAGAAGGGAGATGAGGCTTGAGAAGGTAACTGCAGAGAAGCAGGACATCTCAAGTTTCATATACTCAAGATGTTAACATCTAGGAGAAGACTCAGAGCCAAAATGTTGCCCACAGGTGAGAAATTGGGTCCTTTTGATGCCTTTTTCCTTTTACTTAGTTTTCAGGTGAACCTGCTGCATCTCTTAATTCCCCGGTCCTTACTTTGCTCCCACGCCCTCCCTTACCTCTGTTTTGTGTGCTCCAGGGTGGTGCATGCTTTGCTCACCCCTTTCTTCCTCCCAGCTTTTCTGATGAAAGTTCTGGTCCGTCTGATGAGATCTGGCTCCTTGGATATGGCACAGATACCCACTTAGTTGTATTTCAGTTCCTTTGCCTGCAAAAATCTCAGATGGAGCTTTAAGCATCATGGAAGACCTTCCTCAAGGGGGACTTGAAGTGCTCTGGGAGAAATATGCAGGCGAGACCCTTTCCAAGGGGCAGGACAAGGAGAGTCAACACGCCACTCTTCCTGGGGCTGGGAAAGTGGTCCGGCCACAGGTTTCTGAAAAGAAGACTGTTAATTTCTGAACCTAGAAAATAAATTGACTCCTGGACCCAGAAAATGCTCTTCCAAGTTGCAAAAAAACAATCATTCTTTTTAAATGGGGTAACATTTCTGGAATATATCGTTCCCAAAATAAGATCCTCCAATTTGGAAAAATCTAGCTGAAATAAATGAAAATAACAGATGGAAGAGAAATAACAGAAGTTATCCAAAGAACAGCAAGAGATATGAAGTGGGGAATCATCTGTCTAGAAAATGGTACTCAGTTGTACTTTTGAAATTAAAGGTACATTGGCTTCTGAAGAGATTGCAATTTTTCTCTTGACAGTTCCCCTTTCCACATTATGTCCTTTCTGGGCCAAGGTTAGTGCCGAAGAGGTATAGTTTTCTTTTCTATTCCTGCTTTTCCCATTTGTGCAGTTTCCATCTGTTCCAAGGTGTTAAGATCAACTGTTCTGGTCTCCTGGATAAAGGTTTGGGCTCTTGGCAGAGTGCTGGATAAATACAGAGTCATGCTATTAGCATAGGGATGTTTAATAACGGATTGTTTATGTTCTTTCAGGCTCGTCTGAGTGCAACCCCGAGCAGCGTGGGCCCCTCGGCAGCCTGGAGAGCGCACCTGACAGCAGGGCTGAGCCTCCTGCTCCCACCTGCAGCCACCAGAGCCCTCTGCAGGAGCCTCCCGGCCTCCCCGAGGGCGCCCTCCACAGCCCTCGTTTTGAAGAGCACAGGTTTGCTATTTCATTGACAAGGCAGACTATTTGGGTTACAGGATTCATCATTGTGTGTGTGTGTGTGTGTGTGTGTGTGTGTGTGTGTGTGCATGTGTGCGCGCGCCTTAGCTGGGAGAACGTGGCACATCGCTGACTTTCTATGCTTCCGTCATCCTTCCTGACCTCTCTCCCAGTGACTCAGTGGAGCAGCCTGTGAAAACCCTTGAGTCCCCCCCCCCCCCCCCGGGAGGCAGTAGCTTAGGGCTTTTGTTCCCGGCTGCATCAGCGCCCTGCCCAGCTGCTCACCTCTTCCTCAGGTTGCTGAGAGGCTTTTTTGCAGAGAAAGAGATGGAAGCTTTGGCCAATGTCATCATAGTCTCCTCTTTGGGTTTCCCTCTATGTCCGGTCCCTACCCTGTGTGTCTGGTCTAGTGACCTGAGCTGTCCCTCCGCAGGGCTGCTGGCGCTTTGTTCCTCTCTGTGCCGACGTCCTGCCCACCCTCTCCTCCCCCCGGCTCTCCGTACCCCTCCAGAGTTAAAGGCACAACTTAGGCAGAAGGCATTCCTGGCCCTGCATCACAGCATCTCCAATGTCTCTGCAGTAAGATGACAGCGGGAGAGACAGAGGAGGAGGAAAGAGGGGGGAATGGGTCACCTCTCCAGTCCACACCCCCACCGAGGCCCTACCCTGCCGCAGTTCCGAAGCCCTGGGTCCTGGAGGAGACGCACGCGCACGCCAGCTCCCTGCGGCCTCGGTAAGGGCGCCGAGAAGAGTGAGGCTGACCTTGCCGTTGACTCACGTCCCATGTCATTGCAGTTTTAAAAATGGGTGCTGAGTAACTTCAGAGACGTGTTGAAATGGGGCGCCGTGGTGGCTCCCTGGGAGTGTCAGCGTCAGCAGCACCCGAGTGAGAGCTGGGGAGGGCCCCAAAATCAGATACTGCAGGCCTTCCAGGTTTTCCCCAAGCCCTCCTTTCACATTTTCATAGAGTTTTTGGGCAAGAAGTGCTTAAAGGGGACAGTCTAGGTCCCCAGCATCAAAGTGGGGTGGGGGGTGGGGGGTGGGGGGCAAGGTCTGCATTTACCAGTCAAGGGCGGTTTCCCCGCTCCGCTCGGCAGGCCCCGCCTGCCGCTCTCCGGCTGTCAGGTGGCGGCGGGCGGCTGCGGGCTGAGAGGGGCCAGGAGGAGGCGCCGGCGACAAAGCCAGCTGGGGAGCGGAGTGGAGAAGAACTAGAGGCGCAGTTGACTTCCCACTGGAAACTCCCGAGCAGGGAAGCTGTCGGAGCAAGAATTTGGCTTCAAGTTTAAACGTTAGGTACATCTGGTTGCCATCAAACCTTCCCAGATCATTGCTTTGCTCCCCCCCCCCAACCTCCAGCTGCTAGGAAAGAGAGCGCTATCCTTGTAGTCTGCGTCTTGGGAATATAACATCGTTCCCTTGCCTTCCGTGGCAACCTACGCCCAGTAAAGACGAGGGGGCAGGGAAACACATCTTTCTCTGAAATGAGAGGAGAGCGATTTTAGAAGCAAAGAAAGCCTGCATCACTCAGTATGAGGAAAACCTCTCTTCTGCTTGTCTCTACCATTTCTTGTTTTCTGCATTATTTTTTGTCTTCATTACCTAGGACGTGAATGACACCATGGCACAGTTACTTCCCTCGAATTGTAGCTGCCCCATTCTCTTCCTGGTTAGGTCTGCCCAGTGGCAGCCACGTCCCTCTCAGGTCGGTTGGTGGCACCTGGCTCCTCACAGCTAGACTTTCTCAAGAGAGACGCATTCCCTGTGCCCCTTGTTCCCAGTCCCGTCCCCCTTAATCCTCATGCCCCTGCTGCTGCCGTCAGGACTCTATTGGAACTGCCCCTGCAATGGTCGCTGCTGGTCTCTGAGCTGCAAACTGTCTCAGTGCTGGCCCTCCAGAACTCTCTGCAATGCTGTCACTCTTTCTTAAACTGTCTCTTCCCTTGTCTTCTGAGACCTTGCACAGAATTGATTGTAGTTCACCTTTTTTCAAAGCATACCTCTCTCCTCTTCCTTCTGCCCTAAAAAGTCGGGTATCTCCCATGGTTCTCTCTTCCTCCTTTTTTGATCACCCCCGTGGCAATTCCATACATCCTCAACCTCATCCCCTGCCTCCCCATTTCCAGAGTTGGCTTTTCTCCTGTGCTTTTGAGCCTGTCTGTCCTACCTGCCTGATGGGATTCTCCAACAGACTATCTTATAAGCAACTCGAACTCAATATTTCTGGCCGGACTTGCCCACTTTTCTCCCCAACCTACCACCCTGCTGTGCTCCCGATTTCCAAGGCACTCAGGACCATCGTCGCTTGTACCTTAAATTCACCTTTCCATCCCATTTCCATTTCCATTATCCTAGTTACACACTTGCCAGCTCTCTTACAGATTGCTGTAGTAATCAGGTGACATTCTTTCCTCCATGTCCCTCTCTGCTAAAGCATCGTCACAGCTCACACTACAGATGGGGCCCCCCAAATCATAGCTCTGATGACGCCACTCTCGCTACTCAACAACATTCTACTGTGGTTTTTCATGAACTCCTAAGTTAAATTTTTTTGCCATGTCTTTCAATACACTCAATGATCCGGTCCTAGTCTGCTTTTACAGCTTTACCTCCTACCACTGAACCTCGTGAGACTTCCTTTCTATCCTTTCTATCTTTTCTGCTTAATTCTACCCGTTTTATTCTCTTTGTACTTTCCTCAATCTCTGTCTTCCCCATATCCCACCTCTTCTTTAAGGATCCCATCTCTTTCATGACTCTCTTATTCTCTCTTTCAGTGTAGAACACCCATTGCGGTTTATACTGACCACTGTTTGGGCATTCTCACTCTTTAACTTCTTTTAAAACGATGGCATATAAGTTATCTTACCAACGATGGCATATAAGTTATCCTACCAAGCTCCTAAGAAATAGGGATATTTGTCTTATGCATTTAAAAAATCTTCTCCAGCATGGAACAAGCAGTCTGCCTTGCGTAGTTGGTGTTCTGTTTGTTAGAGAAGTGGAATTCATCTGGACTTATCTTACCATCCTTCATTAACAATCAAAACTACCTTCATCTCTCTCACTCCTCCTCCTCCCCCTGCCCCGTTTATATATAAAACACAGACTGCTACCATATGGTGTCTTTCTAATCACATTCTTGTAGGAGAGGAAGAGACATATTATTACAGACTACTGATCCTTTAGCTGTATAAAATGACAATTCTAACTTAGGAGCAGATAGTTGATTTAAAGTTTTATAGTTTTCATGTTCTTCTGCTGGGCTTTTAAACCTCCTTTACAAGTAAATTGAAAGATGAACATACCATAAAGATTGCATTAATTTAACTTTACAAAGGTTTTAATACAAAGACACCCTTTAACAAACTGGAAAATCAAAAGCCATGGTGGACAGGTAGGCATAATTCTTAAAGGGACATTGTTTTCTCCTTATTTCAATATAATCAGTGGCATTATGACAGAGAAAAAAATTGTCATTTAGTTGGTGAATAAAGAATAGAATAGAAGCCAAGAGACAAATTGTTCTAAATAATGAGCATATGACAGACTTCTGGTGCTGGCCAAGGTAGAGTAAGCCCACTATTTCTTCTCTTTTCCATTGGTTAAAACTCAAACCTCTGGAAAGAATAAAAGAGACAACTACTTGAAGACTCAGAAAAGTAATCAATAAGAGGTAAACACAGGAGGGAGGTTAAAACTGGAAAAAAACAGTCATGTCTTAATCAGTTTGGGTTGCTATAATAGAATACCATAGATGGGGAGGGGGCTTAAACAACAAACATTTCTTTCTCACCATTCTGGAGGCTGGGAAGTCCAAGGTCAAGATGCCAGCAAATCCATATCTGGTGAGGGTGCACTTCCTGGTTTACAGATGGTCACCTTTGTTATAGCCTCACCCTAACTCTAGAGAGAGAAAGAAAAATTGATATATATTTAGAGAGAGGTAAGCCCTCATGTATCTTCTTATAAGGCAGTAATCCCATTCTAGAGGGCTCCACCATCATGTCCTAATTATCTCCCAAAGACTCCACCTCCTGATACCATCACATTGGTGGTCAGGATTTCAACATAAGAACTTTGGGGGAGTACACTCACTCACTCACTCAATAATAAGCCAGTACTGGTAAGTTCTCTGTTTTCTCCCTCCTTTATGTCTCAGCTTTGATTCACAGAAGGCCCACAGTCTGAGAGGTGAAACTGTACCACAGGTGTGGAGAGGACAAAACCCCAAATAAAGCCGTCATCTTGATTGGAAGATGAGTAAAATAGGTCACTGAAAGTCAGAGAATATGGGATGAAATTCCGCCATTTTGTTGTTGCTCCTTTTCCTTCCTTAGCCATGCTTGAGTTCAGCCTCCGTCATGGTGCTGTACTGCCTAGACGTGGTGGTGGTGGAGTGTGTAAATCCCAAGAGATACACTCATCTCCATGGCCAGAGGACCTGGAAAAAGAGGCCCCAGTATCCTGAATTATGTGTTGGTGGGAATCCTTTATTTGTTCTCTCACGTGTACTCTTTATCCCTTCATCCCAAGTGTGGCCCCCATTGCAGAGAACAGTGAAACACCATAGGGCCTAAAACCCAGAGAGTAACTCATCATTCTGGCCAGAAGAACTGGTAAAAGAGGTCTCTGGGAGCCAAAGAGTCTGGCAATCTTTGACAGGAGATAGATAGAGAAGAATATATTCTAATGATGGGGCATGAACCAATCTAGGTCCTGGGAGCACACCTGAGATGTATGTGCAGAACATACCCAAAGAAGAATAGTAAAGATTCTATTAACTGAATAAATTGAAACCAAAACAAACCAACCAAAAATAAACATTATCCAGAGGATTTTAACAGGATGCAGAGTCTTCATATTCATATGTTCAATGTGTCCATGATATCATACAAAATAATTCAACATACAAAGAGCTGGGAAAATTAGACCAATTCTTAAGGGAAAGACAATCAATGAGCCCAAACCTAGGAAGACCCAGATACTGGAATGATCAAATAAAAATTTTAAGGTACCTTTCATGACCATGCATCACGAGGTGAAAGCAAACACACTTGAAATGAGTAGAAAAATAGAATCTCTCAGCAGGAAAAAGAGAAACAATTAAAAAGTAACTAAATGGAAGTTTTATTTATTTTTTTTTATTAATTTTTTTTGACATACATATATACACTTGTGAAAATGGAAGTTTTAGAATAAAAATATATAGTACCTGAAATAAAGTATTACCTGGCCTCAATAGTATGATGGAGATGTCAGAGAAAAATCAGTGAACATAATGATAGAATAAAATTATTTAATCTGAAACAGAAAAAAATGGAAAGAAACTGAACGGGGGCTCAGGGATATGTGGGAAAATATCAAAACCTCTAATATTTATGTTATTGAGGTACCAGGAGGAAAGGGAAAGAAGCTCAATACATTCCAATGAAATGCACGCCCAGACAGATCAGAATCAAAGTGCTGAATACCAAAGATTAAAAAACTAATCTTGAAAGTAGCCGGAGGAGAAAAAAGTATGACATATAGGGAAAGATTTGATGGACTCTACATTTGTCACCAGAAACCATGTAAGCCAAAAGACAGTAGAACACCATTTTCAAAGTGGAATCAAAAAGAACTTTGAACCCAGAATTTTATAATCAAGAAATGACTCTTTCAGAAATGAAGGGGAAACAAAAATATTGTAAGCAGCTAAAGGAATTTCTAGAAACAATATAAGAGAAAAAAATGGAACATCAGGGGTGAAAGAAAGCAAGAGAATTGGTAAATATAAGGGTGAAAAGACTATTCTCATTTTGAGTTTTAAAAAATAACTATGAATATTGAGAACAAAAACTCCAATATTTATGATGCAGTTTTAAATGTATGTAATTGTAATATAAGTCTTAAGTATAACATAGAGGGGAGAGGAAAAAGGCACTTATATCCTACACACTGTAAAATATTAACTTTAAGAGTACCATGAAAAAGCAACAACTAAAAAAACAGTACAAAAAGTAGAGACAAAAATCCAATAGATAAATTATAAGGATATGTTAAGAATATTTAAGTAATCCAAAAGAAGACAGGGAAAAGGTGAGTCAGGCAACAAAACCAGGGCACACTAGAGAAAAACAAAAAATAAAATGTAGATTTAAATTCAAACATATCAATAATTTCAATAAATGTAAATTGTTTAAATAAACCAAATTAAAGATAGAGCTTATTCAATTAGAGCAAAATTCAAGTATATCATGTTTACAACAATTCCATAACAAATAAAATGTCATAGATAGGTAAAAAAAGTAAAAAGATGGAAAATTATATGCCCTGAAAAAACTAATCAAAGGAAAGGAGAAGGTACTATATTAATATCAGATTAAGCAGAATTCAAACAAAAAAAAATTTACCAGGAATAGAGACAGGCATTACATTATAATAAAAGGGTCAATTCATCAAGATCTTTGACAAAGGTGCTAAGAGTATATAATGGTGAAAAGACAGTCTCTTCAACAACTGGTATTTGAAAAAGTGAATATTGACATGTAAAAAAGTGAAATTGGACCCCTACCTTACATCATGCACTAAGATCAGCTCAAAATGAGTTAAAGGCTTAAATGTAAGACCTGTAACTGTAAAATTCCTAAACTAAAACATAGTGGAGAAATTTCTAAATATTGGTATTGGCAATGATTTCTTAGATATGACACTAAAAGCGTAGGCAACAGTAGCAAATATCAACAAGTGGGATTAAATCAAACTGAAATCTTCTGTACAGGAAAGGAAACAATCAACAGAATGAAAGGCAACCTACAGAATGGGAGAAAAATGTGTGCAAACCATATATCTGATAAAAGATTAATTTCTAAAATTTATAAGGAACTTATACAACTCAATAGTAAAAAATAACCTGATTAAAAAGTGAGCAAAGGACTTAAACAGATATTTCATCAATGAGGACATACAAATGACCAACAAGTCTATGAAAAGATGCAGAATATCATTAATTATCAGGGAAATGAAAACTAGAACTTTAATGAAATATCACCTCACATTCATTTGGATGGCTATTATTTAAAAAACCCAAAAGATAACAAATGTTAGAAAAAATGTAGACAAATTGGAACTTTTGTACACTTTTGGTAGGAATGCAAAATGGTACAGCAGCTATAGAAAACAATATGGAGGTTTCTAAAAAAATTAAAAGTAGAACTATAATATGAGCCAGCAACTCTACTTCTGGTTATATATCCAAAAGCATTTAATGCTACGAATTTCCCTCTAAGTACTACTTTAGCTGCATCCCCCAAATTTTGATATTTCATTTTTATTTGGTTCAAAATATTTCCTAATTTCTGTTAAGATTCCCTCTTAGGCCTATGAATTATTTACAAGTATATTGTATGCTTCTATTAGAATAAAGAAAGACCTGAAATAAATAATCTAAACTTCTACATTAGAAGCTAGGAAAAAAGAGCAAAGTAAACCAAAATTAAGCATAATAAAGGAAATAATGAAGTTAAAAAAGGAATCAGTGAAATTGAAAACATAACAATGATAGAGAAAACTGAAAGAAAAAAAAAAAGGAATAAACCTCTAACCATACTGACCAAGGAATAAAGAGTATACAAATTATCAAAATCAGAAATAAAAGAGAGGACATTAAAAGAATAATAAGTTAATAATTGTGATGGTTAATTTTGTGTGTCAATTCAGCTGGGCTAAGGAATGCCCAGATAGGTGGTAAAACATTATTTCTGGATGTATATGTGACAGAGTTTTCAGAAGAGATTGGCATTTGAGTAAAGAAGATAGCCCTCACCAATGTGGGTGGACATCATCCAATCTGTCCAGGGCCTAAACAGAACAATAGATGAAGGGTGGGCAAACTTGCTCTCAGCTTGATTTGTGACATCCATCGTCTCCTGCCCTCAGAAATTGGCCCTCCTGGTTCTGGGACCTTTGGGTTTGGACCAGGACTTTCACCATTGACTCTAGGCCTGACTGGTTTCACCGGAGAATTTTACATACATTTAAGGAAGAAATGATACCAATTCTATGCAATATCTTTAATAAAAAAGAAGATGAGAAAGCAATTTCCAACTCATTTATGAGATCAACATTACACTAATACCAAAACCAAAGATTTTACAAATAAAGAAAATTACAGAATAATATCCCTAATGAATAAGCACACAAAAATTTCTTAAGAAAATAGGAATAAATTCTACAATATGTACAATATGTAGAAAGAAATTCTACATCACAAACAAATAGCCTAATATTCTAAAACTAATCAATATAATTCACCATCTTAACAGATTAAACTAGAAAAACTTCATGGTCATCTCACCAGATGCACAAAAAAGTATTTGACACAAGTCAACATCCATTTATGGAAAAAGCTTTCAGCAAACTAGGAATAAGGGAACCTCTTTAACCTGATAAAGAACATCTACAAAAATCTATAGCTAGCATCATCATTATTTGTGAAATACTGAACGCTTTTCCCCTATAATCAGGAATAAGGCAAGGATTTCTGCTCTCACTAATTCTGTTCAGCATTCTACTAGAAGTCCTAGTCAGCACAATAAGACAAGACAAAGAAATAAAAGGCATAAATATTGGTAAGAAAAGAAATAAAACTATCTTTGTTTGTATATAACATGATTATTTACATGGGAAACCCCAAAGAATCTACATAACCTCCTAGAACTGATACATTATTTTAGCAAGCACACAGAATGCAAGTATAAAAACCAATTATATTTCCACATATTTGTAATGAACAATGAGAAATCAAAATTATAAAAACTGAAAACATGAAATGGTTAAGTATTAATTTAACAAAATATATGCAAAATCTGTATTCAGAGAACTATAAAATACTTATGAAAGTAATCAAATAAGATCTGAATAAATGAAGATATATATTATGTTCATAGATTGAAATATTGAAATTATTGAAAGATTCAATATTGTTAAAATCTCAATTCCCTCCAATTTGAGCTGTAGCTTTAACACAATCTCAATCACAAATTTCAGTGTATATGTTGTATCAAAAAGTTAATTCTAAAGTTTACATTGCAATACCAGGAACTAGAATAAACAAAAGAATATTAGGAAAAAAGAAACAAAATTAGAGAAGTTACACTATCTGATTTCAAGGCATTATAAAGTAATGCATTGATCATTGGAATAGAGAGTCTGGATATAAATTTACACAAACATGTTCAATTGATTTTTGAAAAAGAACAAAGGCAATTTGATGGAGAAATTACAGTATTTTCAACAAATGATGCTGGGCTAATTGGATAACCAATTAGCCAAAAAAGGAAACCACAATTCATATCTCACACATTATATGAAATAATTCTAAATGGATCAGTGAACTAAATGTAAACATGAAATTATAAAACTTTAGGGTAAAACACAGGACAATATCTTTGTGACCTTGGGTCTGACAGAGAGTTCTTTGATATGACACCAAAAACTTGATCCATAAAAGAAAAAAATTGATAAATTGGACTTCATCAAAATTAAAAATTTTGCTTTTAAAAAGACACTAATAAAGTAATGAAAAGATTAGATAGAGATTAGGAGAAAACATTTGTAAAACATATATTTGATAAAGTACATGTAAGGAGACTATATAATGATTTCTCATAGCTCAGCAATAAGAATGTCAACAATTTAATAAGAAATGGGCAAAGTATTTTAAAAGACATTTAACTACAGAGGATATATGGATGGCATTTAAGGACCTGAAAATAGGCTCTACATCATTAGAGGTAATTCAAATTAAACTACCACAATATACCACCATACAGCTAACAGAATGGCTAAAATTTAAAAAACAAAATAAAACAGAGGAAAACAAGCACTGGTGAGGATCAAGAGCGACTAGAATTCTTATTCATTGCTAGAAGGAATGCAAAATGATAGAGCTGCTTCAATAAACAGGATGGCAGTTTTTTTTTTAAACTTAAACATACATTTGACATATGATGTAGCAATCTCACTCCTAATTTACTCAAGAGAAATGAAAACCTATGTTCACACAAAAGCCTGTATGTGAATTTTTATCACAACTTTATTCACAATTTATTCCCCAAATTGTAAACAGCCCAAATATCCTTCAACTAGTTTTATTAGTTTCCTAGGGCTGCTATAACAAAATATCACAAACTAGGAGGCTTAAAATGGCAAAAATTAATTTTCTCACAGTTCTGGAGGCTAGAAGTCCAGAGTCAGGGTGTTGGCAGAGCCAATCTCCCCCAAAAGGCTGTAGGGAGAAATCCTTACTGGCCTCCTCCTAGCTCCCATGGCTTCCAGTGATCCTTGGTGCTCCCTGGCTTGTAGACACATCACTCCAACCTGTGTCTCCATCTTCACATCTTCCATCTTTCTCTCCTGTGTCTCTTCTGTAGCTCTGTATCCAAATCTCTCTCTCTCTCCTTTCTTTAATAAAGATACCAGCCATTGGATTCAGGACCCACCCTAATCTGGTGTGGCTTCATTTTCCCTTGATTGCATATACCAAGACCCTATTTTCAAATAACATTACATTTACAGGTATCTGGGGTTAGGATTTGAACATGTCTTTTGTGGAGACACAAATCCACCCATTACACTGGGGAATGGATGCTTACACTGTGGTGCCTCTATTCGATGGAATTACTCAGAAATATAAAGGAACAGTTGCAACAACTTGGATGAATCTGAAATGCATTATGCTAATGAAAAAAGCCATATTCAGATAGCTACACATTATGTGATCCCTTTATATGATATTCTGGAAAAAGCCCAATGATAGGGAGGAAGAACAGAGCAGTGGTTGCCAGGGGTTAGGGGAAGAGGGAGGGTTTGACTACAAAGGTGCAGCATGAGGGAACCTTTGGGGTGAGGTTTCCTGTATCCTGTTTGGGATGATAGTTAACAACAGTCCATGCACTTGTTAAAATCCATACACAATATATCAAAAAGAGTAAATTAAAAATAAAATTAAGAATAAAAAATGTATGGTCGGAATCAGGAAAGTATGGGAGAGAAAAACAGAAAGCCAGATGTTCAAGGAAGGTCAAAGATGCAGTGAGAGAAGTGACCTGGCACCTGCTATAAAGGATGAAACTTTAAGGAAAGAGAGCAGTGGAGAGCATTTTTAGTAGTCTTGTTGAGTTGAATGCAAATGAGGCTTTTGCCTTCATATTACAAGATAACTTCAATGAAGATCTGCACCTTTTGTCAATGCTTTTGGAATAATACTTTTGTTTTGGAAATTCAAAAATTATTTACTCTGTTCTTAAGACAAAATTATATTTTTGGTCATAAAGTGATCATAGACCTACATGAGTTATTTTTTTTAATGACAACTATTTTCAGGTGTGACCCACAATTTAGGCACTGGAGTTTTGGGTCACGAAGAAAATTTCTGAAATGCAAGAGCTCAGAACATGCAGCAATTAAGAACACATATTTTCAAAAATCACTTGAACATCTACCTTAGACACTTGTAAAAAGAACCCAAATTCAAAATGTAAGAAAGGCAATTTCATGGTATATAAGAATATGAAGTAAACAGAGAAACTCAATAATTATTAATTTTAGGATTTATAATGCTCAAAGTGTTTTAAAAACTGAATGTGATTTTAAAACTTTTGAAAGAGATGTCATATAATGTAAAACTATAATTAGGTAAGAAAATGGTTTTGAAATGTGTTTAAATTCATTGATACACAGAGTTAAAATGTGGTTATGCAGGAGTGTGGTTGTGGGTGAGGCTGGGGGAGAAGAACCGCAGGCAGACAAAACACACTGTTTTGCTCTTAACTTTGACAAGCTTAGAAATAATGGCAATTTCTAATTTTTTGCCTAAAATATAGTCTCCTTCTTCCTTGCTTACAAAAACTCAGTTTTGTTCAGGGTGGCAAACTACCCAGATAAAAATCATCTATTTCCCAGCCTCCTTATAGCTAGAGGTGGCCCTGTGACACAATTCTGGTCAATGAGACATAAGAGAGAGTTTGCTGGAAGTTCAGGTAAGTCTTACCATACTGATACACACTAACTGCCATTTCCTTTCTTGTTTCTTCCTCCCTCTGTGTGCACCCTGCACCCCGGCCTGGTTTCTCTTTCTATTTGGAACATGCATGGAATGTTCTGCTCTCTTGGGGCCTCCATGCATGCAAGTCTGGTGCTTAGGCTACAGAGAGGGAAGGAACTCGGGTGGGGGATGACTCCAGGGAGCACCCTGTGTTCCTCTGGGACCATTCCCTGCTATGTGAGAACAGTAAGTCCTGGTCTGGGAAGACCACTCTAGTCAATTTCCTATTGCAAGGAAATTGAAATCTTCACCCAATCTCTAACTACCAGTGTTTTTGAAAGCACAAATCTAACCATCAGTAGAATCATACATAAGATATATACTTACCAAACTACTACAGAAGGTAAGGGCAGCAAAATGTTGTCTACACAGCAAACAACAAGAGACGCATCTGAAGAATATCACAATAAAAATGATGAAACGATAAAAATAAGGCCACATGTGTCAGGTATGACCACAAACAGAGGGCAAGGTTTTTAAAAATGTAAAATAAAATCTCACTGTAACCTGCTTCCAGGAGTCGCTTTTCAATAAAGAACCAATAAAAAAAAAAGTTAAGATTAAAAGTATTTCAAATAATTTGTCAGGGAATCAACAAAGGAAAGCAATTATGGTAGCAAAGTTAATAGCAGACAAAATAGAAATTAAGGTCAAAACATTAAACCAAAGAGGGTCTTTCATTTTGATAAAAGAAACAATGAATTATGAAAATATTCTTTTAAGAGCTATCTACCTAAACTAAATACATCAACCAAAATTTCTTAGAGGAAAGAAGATAAATGGTTGAGAGACTTTTGTGAGAGCCCTTAACACAATCTTCCAAGCCTTCAGAGATCATTGAGATGAAAAAAAGAAAAATAACGGCATCGACAATTTGAATGATGTACTTGATGAGACTGAAATAATGATTATATATTAAGCTGAGAATACATATTCTTTTTGAGGGTTGAGTACATTTTCAAAACTAAGTTAAAAAAATTATAACATGCATATGTTATATATTCTGATCTTTATTCAAAGGGAAAAACCCCAAAACATGAAACTAGAGCTGCATGGTCACTACAAACCATATTTTGATGATCTGGAAAAGTACTGATGACATTATGTTAAGTAAAAAAGCATTGTGAAAAATTATACATCTTTTTATCTGAATTTCTAAAGTTTCAGAATGAAATACTTTATTTTCACAGTGGTTACCCTTGGATGTTGAAATTAGAGAAGACATCTTTGTTCTGTGTTTTATGAATTTTCTACAGAGATTAGTTATTGTATTTAGAATATATGGAAAAAATTGATGATAAAAGCAGAAAACCGAACTGAATGTACAGTATGAATCTTTTGTAAGTGTATGAGTTCATGTGCATATAAGTTTATAGAGCCAAAGGTTTAGAATAAATATGCTAAAATATTAACAGTAGTTATCCCAGAGATAAGAGATTTGTCATTTAAGCTTCCCATATTTTTCATGATGAGTATCCATCATCCCTATAATTAGGAAAAATTAAATATTAATAAAAAATTAAGCCTTCTCTGGAAGTCTCCCTGTGGAGAGGGCACAGGGGCTATGCCTCAGAGCACCCCCTCTTTCCAAATACACAGCAATACGAGTCAAAATATAAAGAAAAAGATCATAGAAAATAAATAACTGCACTCAAAAAAACAGCAGCCCTTTAAGGTGCAGTGCGGGGTTGGCCTACCAGAGTCTGGAAGTCAGCGGAGGGGCGTGGGGCTGAGGGCTTCGCTTCTGCAGGAAATAACCTCTGCGCAGGCGCCTTGGGGGGCAGGTCACCAAAACCAGACCCTGGGGTGAAGCGGAGGCTGCTCGGGGCTGCCTCCACCCACCACCATCCCCAGGCCCAGAGGACAGGGCGGGATCCGACCACACTGGGGTCTACCGCCTGGTCCCACAGTGACAGTGCGGAGCAGGGAACGAGTCGGGTGGCCCACCTGGGGGCTGGGTCCTGGGTACCCGGTATCGCCCAGAACTGTCATAAGAACTAGCTGGGGGGTGGCGGGTGGGGTGGGAGGGAGGCAGGGAGGAGTGAAAAATTCCAGACCGGGAGTGTGGGGGTGGGGG